ATCACAGAACAAGAGTAATTGGAAACTCCGCCTACGCTTGGTCGAACCTACTTCAACTTGAACTTTCACACTATTAAAAACGCTTTTTTCCGGGTAATTTGAGAGTTCTCTCTTTAAGAGTTGGCTGAATTGACTTGAAGTGCAAAGAAGGTTATTTGCTCAAAACATAAAAGGGAAAACTCTTTTTTAAGAGATTCCTTTGAACCATTTGCGTATGCAGAGTTTTCCCTATCAAATGAGGGTCATTGTATTGATTTGTTCCCTTTTATATTTAACCAGTGCCAATCAACTGATCGATTTGACCCAGTTTGGAGAGACACGTAAGGATTTTGGTGATCAGAGTGATTGCTAGGAAATAAGCCTATGTAATAAACCTATAAATAGACTCCGTAATTTATTGGTTTTTTTGATTTACCGTGATTTATTGGACCAAACAGGGTTGTCTGTAGCCTTTTAGGCCTTGGTTAAACTAATAAAAGCATAATAAGTCATCTTCCTTCAATTCATCGACTAATAAGTCATCTTCTTTCAATTCATCAACGAATAAGTCATCTTCCTTCAATTCATCAACTAATAAGTCATCTTCCTTCAATTCTCATTCCTATTGTTGCTCATTTTCAGAAGAGTTCTCTGATTTCCTCAACCATACCATGCTTCTCTTTGACGAGCTGTTCACCAAAAGGGCCTATAACAAACAGATTCCCCCGATTTGGCACTCAGCTGGTAAATTTTCGACCAATTATCGTTCATGTAGACTTTTAGAAAACATATCCACCAGGCTTGATGTCGACGTTCAGTTGGCCTATTTGAAAATGTTTGCCTTGGTGAGTGAAAATGAATCAATTGAAAGCAATGAGCCTTCAGGATGCCGAGAACCAGCTATTCTGTTTCACGTGTGACTTGAAAATGGTAATTTGAGGCTAGCATTTCCCATTACCATTGTTCTTTTAGATTTGGCGAGACCGACGGTTGGCCTGGTTTCCCGATGAGTTTGGCGGGGTGGAAAAGATTTTCGTTAACTTAAACAATGTATGGTTGCCCGATCAACAAATTGGAGAGACGTGAGCAGTTATAATTGTACTTGTACCGTACAATACAGTGGACCGTATTCAATAAGTGATACTTATCCGAGATAAGATCTGACATTCTAAAGAAACTACGGTAAAAACTGTAATTGAAGCCCCGGGGCTTCTATCCCCCCCGCCCTCCAGAGGCTTTTAATTTTTACCTGGTATCTCTTGAAAAATTATTCCTTTAAGGCTTCTTATTTAGTTCGTTTAAAGCTCCTTTAAAGCTCCTTTATAGTTCCTATTTAGTCCCTTTAAAGCTCCTTCAAAGCTCCTTTAAAGCTCCTTTATAGCTCCTTTATAGTTCCTTTAGAGCTCCTTTAAAGCTCCTTTATAGTTCCTATTTAGTCCCTTTAAAGCTCCTTTAAAGCTCCTTTAGAGCTCCTTTAAAGCTCCTTTATAGTTCCTTTATAGTTCCTATTTAGTCCCTTTAAAGCACCTTCAAAGCTCCTTTAAAGCTCCTTTAAAGTTCCTTCAAAGCTCCTTTAAAGCTCCTTTATAGTTTCCTCTTGTTTTCGACCGCTTTCCGCTTCGTTTTCTTCTCCAGCTCCGCGCTGGCAATCGAATCTGCATCAACATCGCTCCCCTCATCGCTTCCCTCATTGTTTCCCTCATTGTTTCCATTCAAATCATCTTCTTGAAAGAGATCTCGCTCAAATTCCAGGCGCTCACGGAACTTCTTCAATCCGTCGCTAAGATTATCCATTCTACCTAAAAAAAACAGTTAGAAACGTCTAGAGAAACTGTAAAGCATTGAAAAGTTCAATTTTTTACAATTTCTCAACAAAAAAGTGCGAAAAAATGAAGAAACAAAAGAAAATCTTAAAATAAAATGACCAAGAAGTGTACAGGAGATAAATTAATGCAAAAAAAAAGTAAAATTATGCAAATTATGAGCAAAATAAATGCAGGTTTGGGGGTGGAGGCTTCTATTAAAGCAGCAAGAAAATTTAGCAAAGTTTTGGTACCAGCTCATCCCGAATACGTTCGTCAAGCATCGATCACATATGAGGGAATCGTCGCGATTTACACTGTCTACTATGCTGAGGCCTCTTGTCCGATAAATGTAAGGAATTATGTGTGTAGAGCCAGTAAATATGGTTTTTAGATAGATGTTTTTCCCTTCGATCATCAGAGCTGTCCTATTCAAATTATGTCATGGACTCAAGATTAGTCGGTCGTAGAGATTTAAGCAAAATCACTGGAATTCAGCAACCACACAATGACCAACGGTAGTTTACATCCATCACTCTCGACGTCAAATGCGGTGAGTGACTGGGATCAAAGAGGGACAAAGCTGGGCTTTCAGGGCAACGGTGAGTGGGCGGTCACTAATATTACCACATATGGCTACATCATTGGAAATGTGTACATTGTAGGTTAAGAATAGAATATATTAATAACCAAGCCTATTAGTTAAAAATTTTTAGATGAATTTTGGTGTCATGCTCAAGAGGGTTCCTAACTTCTATGTTTATGTCATTGCTGCCCCGTGCTTTGTGTTGACGATTCTCTCGGTTGTCGGATTGTTCTGGTCAAAGAATACCGAGACTGAACAATTGACTAAGGTAAAATGACTTCAGGACTAGGAGACTCGATAAACTCGGTAAACAAATCATGAACAAATCATGAATCAGGATCATGAACACTCTTAAGGTCTTGAGGTCGACCTCAAGACTCTCGTCGACCTCAAGACTCTCGTCGACCTCAAGACTCTCGTCGCCATATGACGTCGCTATATTTTGAGGGCTGCAATCGAATCGTATGCTTGTCAAACTTGCTCAACAGTTTCTATGTTCAAATTCTACCATTGATGAGCATCTCCACGCCATTGGAAAGGCAATCAGATGCGGGAAATGGCTTCCTCACAAGTTAAGCAGTGCAAACAAGGCTTCGCGGGTCGCTATTCCCGGAATCCTCATCCGCCACGCTAAATATCATGGCTTTTTTGATTCTCTCGTTACTGGAGATGAGAAGTGGATCCATTTCGTTAATACTATTCGAAAACGGCAATGGCTAGGACCAGGAGAACGGCCAAAGCTGACCGTGAAACCGGACATTCATGGGAAAAAGAACATGCTCTCAGTATGATGGAATAACAAGGGCTTTGTGTATTTTGAGCTTCTACAACCTGGCCAAACAGTCACAGCAGACCTCTACAAACAGCAAATTGATCGGGTCAATGAAACTCTCATTCGTTAAGGAGTAGACACATCAAGGATAAAGTTCACCCATGACAACGCTAGACATCACGTTGCAAAAATCACCTAGCAAAAGCTGGAGAGTCTAGGATGGGAAATTCTACCATCTCCGGCGTATTCTCCCGATTTGTCTTCCTCAGATTACCGTTTATTCCGGTCCATGCAAAAACCTTTTGGCTAATGAGAAATTCAAAACCCGTGAAGATTTCCCGAATTGGGCCGCCAAGTTGTCGGCCAAGCCGGCTGAGTTTTTCAAGAGCGGTATCAATTCTTTACGCAAAAGATGGCAAAAGGTAATCAATAATAATGGTGCAAATATTTTGGATTAAACTGTGTTCTTTCTGTTTTTATGATAAATCCAACGACTTTGCCTTTTGCCTTTTGCCAACGACTAAAACCCTCGTTTATATCCGAACAACCTAATAGAACTCTCTAGAAACAAAGGACTATTCTATGGACGGAGTTTTTCCGTAGTTTAACAACTCAAAAAGCCTAAACGGGGTGTGACAATCTTATTTCCAGTTGAGCATCGGTTTCACGAGTCTCATCTCGATGACCGTGTTGCTGGATCTTCTCTCCAGCTCGATCCCCAAAACATCCACATTTCCACTATTGGGTAATCAGAAAATAAGGCTAAAAACAATAAATTTACAGGAATTTATGTGATATTTTGTGTTGGAATCACCTCATTGGCCTGCTTGTTGATCATTGTTTTCCCTCTATCGAAAAAGGCAGCAAAGAAGGAGAAGGAAAAGGAGAAATTGGAGAAACAAGAGGGAAAAGATCTGGCATGGAGGTAGAGTCGATTGTTTATTAAAAGAGTGTTAAGAATCTGGTACCAGTAGCTGAAAAAGCTAGGAGGCCTGATTACTTCTCGTTGGTGGATTAGAGAACACCGTCCAGACACTACACTAACAAGCATTGCAAGAAAAATTGTCGATTTGCAAGTTCTTTTAAAGCATAAAGTCATTGGCTTGTTAGTTAAACAGAGCTTTTTTTGTTTTCAGAAAACACCTCTTCCGCTTTGTTCGAGACAAGCTTTGTCAGAGGCATCGGGTTTTTCAGTTATTCTTTCAATTGTTAAATCTTCTCGCATTCATTGTGTTTGTCTCGTTTTGGAAATAACAACAAAATTAAAAGAAAAGAAACAAAATTTGGTTTCTTTTCTCTACAAATTTGGTTCCTTTTCTTTACAAATTTGGTTCCTTTTCTCCAAAGATTTGGTTCCTTTTCTCTACAGATTTGGTTCCTTTTCTCTACGGATATGGTTCCTTTTCTCTACAAATTTGGTTCTTTTTCTCTACGGATTTGGTTCCTTTTCTTTTTTGTCAAAAACAAACAAAAAAAAACAAGAAAAAACGAACAAAACAAAACAATGAATGAATATGAAACATATAACCACACTTCTACTAAAGTTTTTCACAATTCAAGTCAATTTCACAGTTTCGTAGCATTTACAGCTTTCATTTGTAGTCTTTGTAGTTTTTGGCTCCATCGTCGGCTTGTGGGTTTCTACTATTCGATACTATGACACTTTTCTTTTATAATTTTTTTCCATTTTGAGTGAAAACCATGATAAGTCATTTTAAGCACTATTCTATGATCAACTAACTTTCATGTGAGCCCTAAAAGCCCTAAAGCCACTTTGATGTGAGCCCTGCTTTAATGTATTTATGAATTCCTTGTATTGATTTTCGAAAATACATTGTAAACTTTTATTTCTCATTGCTCAACAACAATTTACAGGAAAGCTACACCAAAATCGGCAACCCGGCGCGTCACAATTGTTCACACATCGATTAGGGCAACAGAGATCATCAGGTTGAAAGGGATTTCTGGTGAAGCTGGGTCGAATTGTCGGTCGACTACTTCTGTAGATTGGCCGTTGTGTAGTAGAGGGTCTTTCCTCTGAAAATAGATAGTCTCTTGTCTATCTAATTTTAAGGGTTTATAGCGGCACAGTGATGCTGCTATAGGTCTATTTCTAGCTCAAATTCTTCTTAGAAACCAGCTAGCTTGTAAAAATTGTCAACAAACCATCGAAATATTCATCCTCGAAGTCTCTATCTTCATCCTCAAAGTCTCCAGCTTCAAATGGGCTCAATGTGGTGGTAAGTGGTGCATAGATTGGTCTTTCTTCCAGGTGCTCTAAACCACAAAGTAAAAAGATCATGACAAAACAATAAATCTGAACCAAAGTTAGCTTTTCAAGTCGGACCCAGTGGTTCAGTGGTTTACCAGTGTTTATTAATGTGAAAATCGTTATTAATGATTGATTGGTATTTGTAGAAATCATATAGTAATAGGTCAAGTCTACAGTAAAATTTTTAGATTAGATTGTAAGCATGATAAAACGCTTAAAACCTACCGCTGGCATCATTTGACGAGCTCGTACTCCTAGATATGGCGAGACCCAGGATCAATAACAGAGCAAAGGCTAGAATAAAAAAATAAACGATCCTCCTGTAGATTTTGTCCTTCATAACAGCCTTGAGAATATATTGTGGAAAGATTCTCGAAAAACATCCAGATTTTTCTTTTTCTTCTTTTCGAAAACGAACTTCTTCTAGCATTGGCACAACTTCAGCTTGCTGTGGGTAGACGCTGAACGTGGAAATGGGTGGTGGAGTCAAACCCTCGTGTTCATCTATTGCGACTTTGTCGATTCCATCGTTGAACCCGATCGGTCGAATACAGACGCTTTGATTATCAACAGGCTTCGGGGCAAAGAAATGGGGCGAGGCCATCTGGAAATATTGGATTGGCCGATAATTAATGAATCAAAGAAAGGGGATTTTGTTGTAAAGTTTGTAGTTGGCCCTCAGTGTTTACCACTACAAGAGACAACAGGTAAACCTTATTTCAAAGCACTTGCATTGATTGGGCATGATTTCTCATTTCTTTTATTTACTACTTTTGTGCCAATCAGTGGAAAATTTTCAAATGAACATATTCATCATATTATGCTATATGGATTCGATAAAGGTTCAACTTCAAGCCTAGCTCTAGATCACATAACAAAAGTATATTAGGTTTCAATTAGGTTTTAATTCGATTAAGTTTCAATTAGGTTCCAATTCGGTTCCGAATAGGTTTCAATTCGATTCCGATTCGGTTCTATTTCCGCTTCGATTAGGTTCCAATTAGGTTCTATTTCCGCTTCGATTAGGTTCCAATTAGGCTCTATTTCCGCTCCGATTAGGTTCCAATTAGGCTCTATTTCCGCTCCGATTAGGTTGCAATTCGGTTCCGAATAAGTTCTAATTCGGTTCCGAATAAGTTCCAATTAGGTTCCGATTAGTTTCCATTTCTGTTCCGATTCGCTTCCTATTAGGTTCCAATTCGGTTCCCATTAGGTTAGGATTCGACCCGTTGAAGTTGAAATTGACCAAATATTGGAGCTATTAAGCGAAAACATCCTGAAGACTACACGTGAACTTGGAAAAGACCCTGGTTTGAGTCATTCTACAGTAGAACATCATTTGACTAAATGGGGTTGACTGACTATAGATCTATTTTGGGGCAATGGGTTCCTCATGCCTTAACTAACCCTATGAAAGGCCAGCGTCTCACTATTGCTGCAGCTCGGCTTTCACGATTTGACCACAAATCATTTTTATCCAGGCTTATTACAGGAGATCAAAAAATGGGTAACTTTCGGAGGAAAAGGTAATGAGTTGGACCCGCAGAAAAACCTTTTCCTGAGCCCAAACCTGAAACTTATCAAAAGACGTTTATGCTCTCAGTTTGGTGAGATCTTGCTGGAGTAGCGTATTGGGTGTTGCACCCAATACAAGCATTGGATACACAATACAGCAATCAACTGAAGAATCTGGCCAAAGCTCTCGAGACAAAAAGACCAGATCTGTAAAAGGTCATATTGTAGCATGCCCGCCCACAAACTGCTAAACTGACTCGCTCTACAATCAAGAGCCTGGGCTGGGAACTTCTACCCCACCCAGCATATTCCACAGATCTAGCTCCATCAGATTGCCATTTATTTCGGTCAATGGAAAATACGGAGAGCATTTTGAAGATGAAAAAGACGCCAAAAGATGATTGCAGAACTACTTTGACTCAAAATCAAAGGTTTTTTACAAGAGAGAAATTTGACTTCTACCAGTAAAATGGGCAGTTTATTGAAAAAGATGGAAACGATTTTGATTGATTTAGATGGCTTTATTGAATAAATATTTCTGCTTAAACTTGACTCATTACTTATCGGCCAACCCAATAACTGTTCTTTCTGAGACCTGAACCCATGATATGAGCCCTATTCACTGGAGGCTTGCACATGAACTGATAGCTCAAGTAGAGTGCTCGTCCTTGATCCAGATCTAGAGAGATCGTGATTCAAAAGCTTCCTGGTGAAAAATCAATTAATAATCCTCTTTTATTCCTTTTTCTATGCTCCAACTATAAATGTACCATAAATTTTTAAACTTGCCTCATTCAACGCACGCAATTGCTGATAAACATCGCTAGCCGTCGGTCGGCTGCTCTGCTTAAAACGCGTGCATTCCTCCACGATCTTCTTGATTTCCGAGCCACACAGAGGAGGTGGTTGAACATTTTTCAATTTTTTCTTCTTAACATCATTGGAGAATACTTCTAAGTTAAATCCTCCATTAGTTGCTCGGTATTGCTCGATTGTACTCCAGACTCTTCTAAACAAAACTCTTCAGTTTGATATGTTTGAAATAACATGCTTTTTTTAAAATCTTCAATTCTTTTTATGCTTTATACTTTTTGATTCTTTAGTTTTCTTAGAGTATTCAGATGAACTATCGATTGCTACTGACCTCCTTTCAATCATCTCCCACATCACCAGTCCCATCGAATAAACATCGTTTTTATGGGAAATCTGAAGGCATAGGTGAGTAAAAGATAAGCGAAAGTTAAACCTTTTTGCCATTTTCCAACGGATTCATGTATCGTTCCGTGCCAATCAGTGTCCCAGTCGTTTGGCTGAACCGTGTCTCCTTCACACAACCAAAGTCCCCGAGTTTCAACGTGAAATCTTCGCTCACCAAGATGCTGGAAAAATCAGTGTGTTTAAAATTTCTGTACAATTGAATTTCTATAAAAAAGCTATAAAAAAGTAGCTGCTTTTAAAGAAGTAGCTGCTTTTAAAGAAGTAGCTTCTTTTAAAGAAGTAGCTGCGTTAAAGAAGTAGCTGCTTTTAAAGAAGTAGCTGCTTTTAAAGAAGTAGCTACTTTTAAAGAAGTAGCTGCGTTAAAGAAGTAGCTGCTTTTAAAGAAGTAGCTGCGTTAAAGAAGTAGCTGCTTTTAAAGAATTAGCTACTTTTAAAGAAGTAGCTACTTTTAAAGAAGTAGCTGCGTTAAAGAAGTAGCTGCTTTTAAAGAAGTAGCTGCTTTTAAAGAAGTAGCTGCTTTTAAAGAAGTAGCTGCTTTTAAAGATGTCAAATGGTTTTGAGATACCCTTTATTATAAAGTAAGAAAAGAAACGGATTACACCAGAGTTTCAGCCTTTTACAATGAAAGGGTTTGATCTGACTTTTGTGGTTTGATATCTCGATGAATTCCGTGTGTTCCATGGAGATATTCCAGAGCTCCAAATATTTGTTCGGCCCAACAAGTGACCGTTCTCATTGTGTAAACCCATCTTGAGCCAAAAACAACTAAATACAACCATTGAATAGCAATGGGCAATTTAGTTACTTTTTTCCAGAGACCCATATAGACAATATTCCATGACAATAGCGAACATTGGATGATTATCGTGGGGAAGTGCAGCCGTTCGAAATGCTCGAACGATGTTTGTATGTTTGAGGCTTGTCATTGCTGCCCATTCCTGTTCGTAATACCGTACTCGTTTCTCATCAACACAAGGTATCACCTTCACCACGTAAGATCTGAATGGAAGTTTTTCAAGGAGTAAACGAGAAAACGAAACTAGTCTTTGCTAGATAAGGGCGGTATTTTTTTTCATGCTGCTACATGGTAAATCCAAGCTTAACCAACATAGAAAATCTTGCCACTACCCGCTTTGTTACCAAGTTTTCGACAAGCTTAAACATGCTTAAACAAGGTTAAACAAGGTTAAACAAGGTTAACCAAGCTTAACCAAGCTTAAACAAGCTTAAACATGCTTAAACAAGCTTAAACAAGCTTAAACAAGCTTAAACAGTAGAAAGTAACAATTCAGAAACAGCAGGCAGCTTGACATAGTGTTAACAGGATGTTAACAGCTTAGACAGTTACAGAACAAGCGCAGCTTAACAGCTTCGCAAAAGCTTAAAAGCTTAGACATGTTAACAGCTAAGCTTAAAGCTAGACAGCTAAACAGTAGCTTAGACAAGCTTAAACAAGCTTAAACATGCTTAAACAAGGTTAAACAAGCTTAGACAAGCTTAAACAAGCTTAAACAAGGTTAAACAAGGTTAAACAAGGTTAAACATGCTTAAACAAGCTTAAACATGCTTAGACAAGCTTAAACAAGCTTAAACAAGCTTAAACAAGCTTAAACATGCTTAAACGAGCTTGACATGCTTAAACAAGCTTAAAGCCGTTAAAAAGATTTGTCAGTTCCATTTCTATCAAAGGAAACTCACGGGTTATTTTGCTCAAAAAGATGAACCATCCCAAAGCCGCCATTCCCAATCACTTTCCCTTTTGACAAGTCGATCTTCTCACCTTCATTCATTTTCTAGTTCTAGTAGAATTTTCGAATCATAAAGTCAATAAAAGAATATCAGGGTAGAATAATTCCAGCAAAAGATAGTTCTAGCTCTCAACCAGCTTTTTTGAACCACATTGATCAGTTGGTCTTGAAAAAAGTCCTTTTTCTTGTCTTTTTTCTTTTCCTTTTTCTCTGGTTGAGATCAATCTACCCCTCCCCTTCAGCCCATAAATCTTTCTAATATCTCTCTTGCCAACAGAAGTCCACATCCTTGATTTCCCGAAAAGAAAAAACTAACACAAGAATTTTCTAGCTCATTCTCTTTAAGTCAGCTTTTCAGAACAATTTATTGAAAGATTTGCGCAATATAGCAAAAAATGGAATAAGATAATCTACAAGTTAACAAGTTCCGGAACTGCACACCAATATGGACACCTTCCCGAGTTATAATATCTGATACAGCTGACTAGACAACATTTTCGAAGAATTCGCTTGGTCAAATCTAAACAGATTAATTTATGCAAAAACTTTTTATTTCTTTATAAAATTGACTCATTACTTATCGGCCAACCCAATAACTGTTCTTTCTGAGACCTGAACCTTCTTAGTTCTTTCTGAGACATGATGCATCAGAGTTTTACCATTATGCCACTCATTTTCTCTTTATTCCTTCTCTCTCGTAACTCTCGTGACCTAGTAAGTCTTGGAACGACTATACATACAACCAAGCTAGTGTCAAACCAAAAGCTGTTGATATTCTTGAAAGAATTCTTGATGCGTGCCCTTCTCCTTCTCCATTTCCTAACCACTATGGGTTTTTTCGAGAGGAATTATTTTTTTTTTTTTTTTTTAAGTTAAACAAATTTTTTTTAAAAATAAACAGTAAGAAAAACTTATCAAGGTATTCTTCTGGATCAACTAATTCCTGTCAACTGAATCCTGTCAATTGAATTCCTGTCAATTGATTGCTGTCAATTGAATCCTGTCAATTGAATCCTGTAAAAAAAAAAAAAAAAAAAAAAAAAAAAAAAAAAAAAAAAAAAAAAAAAACAATTGAATGCTGTCAATTGAATCCGGGCAATTGAATCGCTGTCAATTGAATCCTGTCAATTGAATTCAATCCATTGAATTCAATCAATTGATCTGAATTCAATTGAATTCAATCAATTTCATTGTTTAGGATTCTCTGCTTGGTCTTTTTGATCGAGAATATCAGGAAATCGTCGTTTTTATTCTTTCATCAACGCCAGCGATTTCTTTCTGCGAGAAGGACGAAATTTGAGCCAAAGTTTTATGCCATTGAAGAATAAATTCTGTCTACTTTTCATCAAAAGACTAAAAACTAGAATAAGGTTTATTCACAAAAGAACTTCGAAACCAAAACTTTCAAACTATTTATTCCATGACAATATAATCTTTCGGTTTGAAACGTTTCCCTGCTATCAAAAGCGTAGCGTCAAAAGCGTAGCTCACTGAGAGCTGGAAAAAAACAAAAAAACTTGGTACTTTCCTATGCAAAGTACAAAATAGCTCAACAAGTATGAACATCATGTAAATCATCCATTGAAATTCACATTGAAATTCATAATGAAATGAGTTTTTGGTGTTTTGATATATAAATGCCAGAAATCAATAGCCCAAAAAACAAAAATATTTTTCGCCACCGCTTCCATTGTCTTTTTTGTATATAAGCTTATGGAAGATATTTGGAAATATCGAGCAATATTTTGAACATTCGATTTACTGAATAATCGAATAAAAATGTCTGCTCTACTCCATCTTCTTCTCGTCTCAACAGCTCTCTTCAACTCGTTTGCCGAGAGTGCCGGCGGTTTTATGGGTGAGTGGGTGACTCTGGAATAGATCGCTTACTGCTGACTAGTGAGCGACTTCTAGACTTCTAGACTTCTAGACTTCTAAACTTCTAGACTTCTAGACTTTCTGTTGTTTAACACTTTTAGGACCAGCACTTTCCTACACAAAATCCATCATGCTAAACTCATTGCTTGAATATCCGCCACTGGATTATTTTAATCTTTTGCATGCAGAAATTCTTATTTTTCTTTTATATGATGCAAAAAATGATATAATTCCTTCCATATGCACGCAAAATCAGAAAAACCCTTCCAGAAAGAAGAGAAAACATTGATGAAATTTGATGTAACGCTTAGTTTATTCCATGGGATAATAGTCATCCAGGTCTTAGTTCCAAATATATGTTTCCTGTAGCTGAATGGTTAAAGCATTAGTCCGGTAAGCGGTAGGTTGACGGTCCAAAGCTCCATCGAGATCTTTGTTTTGGTTCTTTCAGAACTTTGGGTTCTTTCGGAACTTTCGGTTCTTTCAGAACTTTAGGTTCTTTCGGTTCTTTCAGAACTTTCGGAACTTTCGGTTCTTCTCAAGAATAGGAGAATTCTGAAAAGAGATCATTTTTGAATAGTCAGATCTAGACATCAGTGCATACAAATAACTTTTTTAGGTTCATCTAATAGAGCTCGAGTTGATCTGTTTCAAAATTCTTCTATTCTTAAGAAGAGCTGTTCTGAAAAGGCTGGAAGAGCTGTTCTGAAAAGGCTGGAAGAGCTGTTTAGACTTTACTTTATTCACTTCCCTTTTAGGTGTGGCGGCTGATGTGCAGGATATCGTCGAAGAGATGACTCAAGACTACAAAGTTTTGGTGACCAACACAGCCTCAAATTCGATCTATCTGAAATGTGCATCGGCTGACGATACAATCATGGGCGATGGATCGGATGATGATGGCTGGTGGACGTTGGAGAATGGACAGGTGAGGGAAGGGGAATGGGTTAGTCGAGTCTCAATATTGATCACTTTTAAAGGGATTTCACTCCAGTGTATGGCTGTGGGTCTAGTTCGAAGCAAACATTTTTTTTATTGTAACAAAGAAATCCGTTCAGCATCTACCAGTACAGGAATTTAAGAATATCAGTGAGCAAACAACTCATCCATTTCTACTGACCATCAGTTAAATGGTCCATTTCAACCATCAGTTAAATGGATGATTGGATAAGATGTTCTGATTGTTGCTAAAGAAACTAGCTTATCGAAATCTACAATAAAAGGACTTCCAGAACATTTAATAAAAATCAGCAACAAGAAAGGTAAATTCTCAACTCAAAAGAGAGTTTATTCTGAATAGATTCAAATTTTGTATTCAAATGGCAGCAATTTGAGCTACGAGAAATATTATTTATTGATTTATTTATTGAATTGAAGCCCTTTTGTAGGCTTTGGGCTGGACCTTCGAAAAGAACAACTTCGGAACAACATGTTTCTGGTGTTATGCGAACAATAACGGACAAGAGGCTCGCGATTCGGGCAATTGGTGGGGTAAGATTGAAGAGAACAACGTAAAGATAATCGGGGTTACCGTAAGCTTCAAGCTATTGTTGCATAGTATTTCTCAGTAAAAATATTGTAGTTTTTTTGGGAAACTTTGCTGTTATTCGCCATTTCTTAAATCGGTGAAATTTACGGATTTAAAGGAATGATTAGAGGCACGGAATGAACCGGGAGAGGAAGAGGGAGAGGAAGAGGGAGAGGATGAGGGAGAGGGAGAGGCTACCACTTAAGGTGGAGTTTAAGCCTATAGAATGGTACTCTCGTACTGAGTCTTGACGCTGGGGGATCCGAACCATGATCGTCTCTTTGAGCCCCGGCTCTCTCCCCCCCCCCTTTTAGTTTTTCCTGCCGACTTCTCAATCGCCAGATATTTGGCATCAAATTTTTTGCATTCGAATTTAGGGCACTCTCTAGCGAAGGAGAACACTCCGACAGTGGTGTCGAGGGAAAGCAGTGAATTCATAGGCAGACGATTATGACAAAGCAACACACAAGGCAGAAAATTGTCTCAAAAGTTGAGTTAAGAGTAAGGTTACAATCTTAAACAAGTACCTAAATTAGTTTAGCTACCCTTTTATGTACAGAACAAAGCAAACACTTGGCACTAGCCGGATACGAATCATGATCGTCTGCCTATGAATGACCATCGTTAGATGACCCGTTAGATGACCCGTTAGATGACCCATCATTAGATGACCCATCGTTAGATGACCCATCGTTAGATGACCCATCGTTAGATGACCCATCGTTAGATGACCCATCGTTAGATGACCCATCGTTAGATGACCCATCGTTAGATGACCCATCATTAGATAACCCAACATTAGATGACCCAACATTAGATGACCCATCACTAGATGACCCATCACTAGATGACCCATCATTAGATCACCCATCATTAGATCACCCATCATTAGATCACCCATCATTAGATCACCCATCATTAGATCACCCATCATTAGATCACCCATCATTAGATCACCCAACATTAGATCACCCATCATTAGATCACCCATCATTAGATCACCCATCATTAGATGACCCATATTCTTTTCCAGGTACATCCATCAAGATGTGTTTGGTTGGGATGGTTGCGATGGACCGGCAAATCAAGACGGAGTCGATGAGAACTATGTGACCACTTGGGAGGTCCGAAATGATGGAATGTACTCGAATATGTGCAACGATTGTGAGGGAGGGTCCATTTGGAGCAAATATCAAGATTGGGGAGCCGCCCCATAAACACATCACATTTAAACGATTGTTTTCTGTGAATAAAGGCATGCAAATTCATTTCTGTTTTTGCAACATCATCATCAACAACAAACAAAAACAATTAAAGATCTTAGTATCTCTTACTTACAGTTCAAAATCTATAAAAATGTTTACGAAGAAATTGGCTGAATGAATTTCTCTGAAAATTTGACTATTTGCCTAACTTTTGTGCCAATTTTACTATTGACACCAAGATAGGTTTCCTTTAGCTAAAGTGTCTAAATCTCATCATCGAGGTCGTCACCCTTTTTTGACTACCCCACTTCACGCTCCTAAAAAATCTAGAAATAAGACATTTTTAAACCCGTTTTAATGTTATTTTGCAGAAAAATAAATGGCCTTTCTAATGAAACAAACCGTAGTTTAATGGATGCTCATTTGTTATTCGTGAACATAACGATTACATTCTGTGACGATTTTGTGTGATTACATTCACGACTTGTGCGAGACGGGAATTATGCTCGCTTGATCTTGATTGTGAGTTGTTTGGAGGGGTGTTGAGAGCCCGTATTCTACGCTCCGGGAAAGTTTTCGCCGGAAACTCTGCCGATCCACAAAGTCAACCGCTAGCTTTGGCAGCGGAGCGAGAGAAACCGCCTACCGAGCCAGACCCAGAAAGACACTACATGCAAACTGTGGAAAGTTAGGGGAGCAGGAAAACCACGGAAGACAAAGAAGCTGCGACGGTAAACAAAAGCACTGCTTGAAGGCCAGCCATAGACAGGATGAAACGCCCAAAGCTAGGATGTCTGAACATATAGAAAACTTAAAAGCTATGGTTTGCCTGAGAAACAAAACGAAAAGGTACAAGCTCAACCTAATCAATTTGTCTGGACTACTAGAAAATAGTGATTTGACCACTCCCTTCTACAATATCAAACAGGCTGTGAGTCGCCTGACTGACAAACTTGCTTAACCAGTGCGCCATGGCTACACTTTTAACTTTATGGAAAAGCTGTTGTTTCAAAATTTTTGTTAAATTTCAGAGACCGAACCAAATCTCGCGAAAGAGGAATGGTTTAGTCGAGTTTAAAACTCACAACAACGACATAAAAGACAATCGTCCACCACGAACATCGAACGTGACGATAGCTGAAAAATGGAACAAACTGAAAGAGTTTGACATGAGTCAAATGGAGTAAGGTGTTTAAAACCCCACAAACCTTACTACCTCCGACAGGCCCCAACCGGCACAACGGTTGAGCAAGTCGGCGAGCGACACGGCAAGGGCCCGGACAGCAGCGGCACCGTCTGAAATGAATGAATCTTTGGACCTTAAATGGTATTCGCATCATTCTCAGTCTCGTTATTCTGCTTGCTATTGTTATTTAACTTAACTTTAACTTTAACTGTTAGGTTATTTAACTTAAGAACTACTTATCGGTCAATTCATAAACCGACAAATCTTTTGGTTCTTTGTATTGCAAAATGCTGAGTCCGAATAACCACAAAATTTATGGCAATTAGAGATTTTCTACAATAATGAGTGAACAAAACACACAATACAACCTACCAACTAGAGAATTTACTAGACAAATTTATAATTTTATTTTTGGAATGGTAGCTGTCTTATTAGTTTATTAACACAAGTTGCCAAAACACAAGTTACGTAAAGCACAAAAACGATAGCTTTTTGCATTAGTAGCAGATAGGTGCCTTTTTAACAACAATTGCCATCGTAGCTACACCAATAAACGCATTTTTCTGAGTCACAATGATCGATGCATCCCATTGGGCAACATGGCCGAGGCTGATCACGGGCAATCACCCCATGCCACGGAGGCATCACATGAGCTTCATCTGAAATAAAAAATATGTTTGAAGAGGTCAAGTAGTGCACCTTTATATTTTTGTTACTTTAATCGATATATGTGCTCGGTAAACTTGGCTTCATCACTTGATGAGCCGTATCCTCTGCGTCAATCATTGAATTGTACTATTCAAGTACTATTGTACTATTTAAGTACTATTGTACTATTCAAGTACTATTGTACTATTGTACTATTCGAGTGCTATTGTACTATTCAAGTACTATTGTACTATTCAAGGACTATTGTACTATTCAAGGACTATTGTACTATTCAAGTACTATTCAGTTACTACTCAAGTACTATTCAAGTACTTTTATACTATTGTACTACTCAATTACTATTGTACTACTGTACTATCCAAGTACTATTGTACTTATGATTGCTCAAAGCTTCCTCATTGCCAGAGTATCAGTTGGAAAGAAGCCTGTATACCTTTCCCCAAAACTCACCCATTATCTCCTCTCCATCAGCTGGGGATTCCATCAGACCGAAATCCGGCAAGGCGAGGAAACAGACGAGGAGAATGAGTGAGTATTTCATCATTAGAAATAGTAATTAACTTGGGATTGATTTGAGTTATCAAATAAACGATTTGCTACTATTTATAGGGAAATGCTTGTTGAAAAAACAAATAAACAGGGAAGTAGGTTGTGAAATGCTCCTGTGAGTTTGTTGTTCAAAAATCGACAACAAAAAATAGTGATAAGCTTGCAAGGAAGTGGAAAACAAGAAATAATTTGACTTTTATCAGATCAGTAAGCCAAAGAATTCTGAAATTTTTATCAACCCCTTGCCTTGCCGATTGCCTTGAAACGCAAAAAAAAACTTTCAGCTGTCAGAGGGCTACAATGGCTACCAAGATACCTCTTCCTTGACTACCAAGATACCTCTTTCTTGAACTTGTACAAAGACTGGTAGCTCAGTGAATCAGTGACCTCACTAGAGATCGTTGTTTATTTATCACCGAGTTTTGAAGTGGGATCTAGCCTATTTTGTAGCAAATTTTTCGCTGATTCCAAATAGTCCAAATCGTCCAAAGGAAATAGTTCAAATTTAAGGTGAAGGATTGGATCGGCATAGTGATAAAGAAGGTATTTCGGAGATGGGGAATCCGATGCTGTAATTAGTTTTTTGCCTAAACCTTTGGTTTTCGAGAAAAAAGCATTGCATTTTGGTACTGGCTGAACCTCCAGTTTATAACGGTCCTTCCCTTGCTTTCTAGCATGACCGAATGGTGTAGTGGTAAGTGGGCGGCTCTCAATCAGACGTTTGCTTTTTGCCCACGGGTTCGAATCCGCTTAGCTAAGAATGGGAGCCAAGAATGGGAGCCAAGAATGGGAGCCAAGAATGGGAGCCAAGAATGGAAGCCAAGAATAAGAGCCAAGAATGGAAGCCAAGAATGGAAGCCAAGAATGGAAGCCAAGAATGGAAGCCAAGAATGAAAGCCAAGAATGGAAGCCAAGAATGGAAGCCAAGAATGGAAGCCAAGAAATCAGAACAAGAACAAGAAGAACAAAAAGGAAAACAAGAAGAGACTGTGAACTCTCCGAGAGATGAAGAAGAACAAAAGGAGGGAAATGTAAGTGAAAAGAAAGATCATAAACAATTTACATAAATTAATATCCTTTAAAGCTCAATGTAAAGGTTTTATGTTCTTGAAAATTTAAAAATCCGATTTTAGTTTGATTTCCTGCGCGGGAAAGTTTTTTGGAAGAGAAGGAAAGTTTCTGAAACATTTTAAAGAAATAGAATAAATTTATGATTAGGGAAGTCAAAATAGAAAGATACAATTCTATTCCAAAAATAACTAGCTGTTCTTTACTCTTTCGGCAAGTAGGCAAGTAATTTTCGCTACCAATCAGCGGTAGTTGACTGTGCAATTGTAGGTCTAAAGGTTGTAGGTCTAAAGCAATTGGGCACATCTATTATTTAACTGAACATTTCTGATCCCTAAAACTTTATTTACATTAACAATGGAGATCAACAATGACAAATAAACATCAACAAGACAAATAAACATCAACAATGACAAATAAACATCAACAATGACAAATAAACATCAATAAACTATAAATGTTTCGACTTGGCTAGATAGGCACAGTCATACTGGTCGAGATTTTCCTCGATAACTTCAATATTTGGTCGATGCATTAGTTTAAGCCTCAAGATTGAGTCTTTTCCAGCTTTCACAAAGAGTACAAGGGTTCTCTCCTCGGTGATCTCGAAATCTGATCGGATGTTTGTGAATTTCTTCATTGAATTCAAGTATCGACTGAGGTCCTTTACCAGACTGAAAAAGAAAAATAAAGACCAGTGTCGGGGAAAGCCAGAAAAGACAAGAAGCCTTCTTGGCTTCTTGGTTTCTTGGCTTCTTGGCTTCTTGGTTTCTTGGCATCTTGGCTCTTTAATTTACAAGCCAGACCTCTTCTTAACTCACATTTTCATGTTATCAGCTCGAAATTCCGTCAGCACCACCCCTCCTCCAGTCATCGAGATCTGGCAAAGATGGAGAGCACGAATAAACTGTCGAAGTGACCAAGTAGTCATCTAGACACGAACTAGTCTTAGATATTGGTTTGTTCGACTCACGTATATTGGTAATTCATGCTCCATGAGATCTCGTCCCACCCATTTGCCACCATACATACTCCTAGCATTGTGCCACCATTCTCCCCTCTCTATGCAACTCTCACAATCGCTTGGCATTCGAATCGAGTACTGACCGTCCATCCAGTGATAATGAAGATATCGAGGCTTTAGGTTTTGACTGAAATAAGTACTGTTAAAGACTAGAAGTCAAGAAGTAAAGTTAACGAAAGTAAAAGCTAACGAATAGGATTTCTTTTGATTAGTAATCGATTCTAAGTTGTTTTGTGATCAAGTGTTAGGTAGTAACTATAGTTAATCCCTATCCATCTCTAATCTACACTACTGGACAATGAAATATCATATTTGAAAACAAGATCGTCACTTTCGCGCGCCTGTAACTCCCTTGTCTTTATCTTATTTCTAAATATTAATATTACCATTGTGTAGCCCTTGAAAAGAGCTTTCAGAAAATGTAGAACACTAATAGTTTAAACTCAAAGACAAGGGAGTTACAGACGCGCGAAAGTGACGATCGTTTTTCAAATATGATATTTCATTGTCCAGTACTGTATTTTCCTCAATATCTTTTACAGGGTGACAAGAAATAACCCGTCCTTACATTTTTGACTACATCTTCTCAAATACTGCACCTACGTAAAAACATTTTTTCGTATCATAATTTAGGCTAATATGAGATTTTAAACCCAAAATTTCAAAGAGCTAGCTTTATTCTGTAGTTTTTTTACAGTAGAAACCATCACATTTCTAAGCATCCTTGGGTGCCGCTACTACTTTCAGAGAAAAGTGAACCGTTCTCGGTACCGAGTAAACTTAAGTACCGAGAATGGTTCACTTTTCTCCCAAAGTAGTTGCGGCATGCAAGAATGCTTAGAAATGTGATGGTTTTCACTGTGAAAACTACAGAATGAAGCCAGCTACAGAATGAAAACCCTCTGAAATTTTGGGTTTAAAATCTCATATTAGCCTAAATTATGATACGAAAAAATGTTTTTACGTAGGTGCAGTATTTGGGAAGATGTAGTCAAAAATGTAAGGACGGGTTATTTCTTGTCACCCCGTTTTCCAAAACTTACATCAACAGCTGTTGATATGTACTGCAGCCAAAAGCTCTTTCTCCTCCAAAGGATGCAACAGTCGTCTTCCGTGGTGCCTTGATATCCAACTCATAAACTTGAGCTTTCGAGATTTTTTTTAACATCTCCATTCCACCATTTTGAACAAACACATTAGCATCGAGACAATAGTATGTTTTATCTTTCTTTGCTGGTAATGGAGAAAAGTAGAAGGTCTTGATGATTGATGAACCCTTGAAATCGGCCTCATCAATTTCATTAAGCATTCGATGTTGATAGATCCCGTTTGTTCTCCAAGAAATGTAGACCTCCTTTGCGTGTTCTTTCTAAAAAATTGGAGTGAATAGCGTTGAGTCATGTGAGTCAGTGAATAGCGCTGAGTCATGTTTGTCATGTTAATCAGTGATAAGGCTAGAGTTAGTATTGGAATGGAGCTCATCATCATCCAGATATGTTCCTCAAATCTGAAAATAAGCTGCAATCGCCTACTAATCCCAAATCCTATAGGCATTTCTCTAGTTTCCAAAATTGATTGA